CCAGCTTGAACTGCATAGTGAGACACTGTCTCAAAAAGACAAAAAAAAAAAAAAGGGGCCAGGGAGATAGCTCAGTAGAATAAGCGCCTGCGTGGCAAGTGCAGGGTCCTGAATTCAATCCCTGGTAGTGCAAAAAGCAAAACAAAACAACAAAAGACAAAAGAGTAGGATGTGGTGGTTGCACCTGTGGTTCTAGCTACTCAGGAAGCTGAGGTGGGAGGATCGCTTGAGTCCAGGAGTTCTGGGTTGCAGTGCACTGTGCCGATTGAGTCCAGGAGTTCTGGGCTGCAGTGCACTGTTCCGATTGAGGTCCGCACTAAGTTTGCAGCAATATGGTGACCTCCTGGGAGCAGGGACCACAGGTTTCCTAAGGAGGGGTGAACCAGCCCAGGTTGGAAATGGAGCAGGTCAGTAAAACAAAAAAGAAAACAACCACAACAGTTAAGGATTTAGAATGTGATTTGCTGAGGGCAGGAGAGATGGCACTGGGGGTGAGGCTGGGGCTTAGCCATAGTTGCACACATAACCTGCATGCTGTGACTACGTCCGTGTGTGTGTGTGTGTGTGTGTGTGTGTGTGTGTGTGTGTGCATCCCTAGGCAGCGCTGTGTGGGTGTGGATGGGTGGGAGTGGCTGTGTTGGGAGTGCTTCCAGAGCCTTTTCCCCAAAGGAGGCTTGTGTTCTGCCCTGCCTTGCAGTGGGTCCCACATTGAGAACTGGCATTCGATCCTGCGCAACGGGCTGGTCAATGCATCCTACACCAAACTGCAGGTGAGGCTGTGCCCCTTCTCTGCCCTCTCCCAGCCCCCTGGCGTGCAGAGGCTGCTGTAGAGCACTAGCTGGCTTTGCCTCAGCCCTCTGTCCTAGCCTGTTTCAGGAGCTTCCCTAGAGAGGAAGTTGGAGTTGGATGCAGAGAGTGAGTGCGACTTGCAGGTCTGAACGTGGGCTGTGTGCTTCGTGGTGCTGGGTGTGGGACCGTACCTGCAGGCAGAAATGTGGGCCTGCTGACTGCAGGTGCTGTGATGAATTCACCCGCTACACAGAGCTCTGATCTTTCACGGCTGTTCAAGGAATTGCTGTGATTACCTGGCTTTCCCCTGAGAGACTGAAGGGCGTGGTGCTGCTCCTGCTGCCTCCCTGGCCTGTAGTCCTGTGTTAGGGAATCTGCATGTGCGCCAGGGCCCAGGAGTGTGGGTGCTGCGGGCCTGACCGCCCCGCCACGCCCCGTGCCAGGGTGCCCTAGGCAAGCAGTTTAACCTGAGTCCACTTTTCAGACAACCCACGTTGCAAATGTAGCTGCCTAGAGTGTTTGAGAAGGTAGTTTGGAGGGCCAGAGGACTGGATAGCCCTGTGGCTGCCTGATGCGTAGCCGTGGGCGGCCAGGCTCATGTGTTCATCCTGGTGTTTCCCTGCAAGCTGCATGGAGCAGCCTATGGCAAAGGCATCTACCTGAGCCCCATCTCCAGTATTTCCTTTGGATACTCAGGTAAGAACTACGCGCTGGCCGCTGTGACTGTTTACATCGCATCCATTTGTGAACACATGACGTGTGCTGTCCGCTCCTCCCCATTGTGGATACTGTGTGGTCTCAGCCCTCTTGCCAGTCATGGGTGCATAATCTGTCTTTCTCTGCTTTCTCTCTTTAGAACTTTAGATCGTTCGTGTGGTAAGGCCAGTTACTGTTATAATGGTAGCTTTGTTCATTGTAGAGGCTTGGCCTTAGGAAGGGTTAAGGAGTAATTGCAAAGTGAAACAGGGCTCTGAAAACCACATTCTTTTGTATTGGCAGTTAAAGATTGTACGTGTGCATGTGAGTTTATGTGTAAAGACGTGAGTTATACGGGAAGGCTGGGTCCTCCGGGTCCTTCGTGTTGGCTTATGTTTCTGGAGGTGATATGCTCTCAGCAACCTTTGAAAATGTAAGCTGAGCCAGGCGTGGTAGTGTAGACCTGGAATCCTAGCACTCCAGAGGATGAGGCAGGAGGTCACGAGCTTGAACCCAACCTGGCAAATTAGTGACTTGGTGAGACCCTGTCCCAAAAATCGAAAGGGCGACTGGGGATGTGGCTCAGTGGCAGAGTGCATGCCTTCCACACACAGGGCCCTGGGTTTGACACCTCCCCCCCCCCCGCAATAAATAAATACAAAAAAATAAAAAGGGCTGAGGATGAGCTCAGTACAAAGGCCCCAGTTCAACCTCCAGAACTGTGATCAGTTAGTCAGTTTGTATTGTGTATAATAGTTCAGTATTCCAACACTCACACTGAAGGAAAAGAAGGCATTTTATCCCAAAGACAAGACATGAACAAGTTTTAGAGTTTGGAGAAAAGATGGGCACAGCACTGTCTGCCTCAGGAAAAGAATCAGTTAGCACTGTCTCCTTCCGGGTTCCTGTCTTAGCTCCTCTTCAGGCTGCGTCTTCCTTGTTCAGTATGGCCTCCACATTCAGGACGGTCACTGTGTCACCATCATGTCCACTTGAGGATGGCCAACTGTAACTGTTACAAAGATAAGAAAACTTACGGCTAGAATTACAATTAGTCTCTAACAATAGAAAAAACCAAAGTAGAGAAAGGAAAGAAACAATATAGGTAAGAATGAGGGGCTGGGGAGATAGCTCAGTTGAATAAGCACTTGCCTGGCAAGCCCAAGGACATGAGTTCAATCCCCGGTTCTGCAAAAAAAAAAAAAAAAAGAATGAAAATCAGTGAAATAATTACAGATACAGTAGATAGGAGCAATACAGTGAAAAGATGATTCTTCTAAAGAACTAACAATATAGGGGGCTGGGGAGATGGCTCAGTGGAATAAGTGCTTGCCTGGCAAGCGCAGGGGCCTGGGTTCAATCCCTGGTTCCACCAAAAAAGAAGAAAAAGAACTAATGAAAGGGCAGGGAGATAGCTCACCTGCCTGGCAAGCGCAAGATCCTGAGTGTGATTCGCAGTACCACGTGCCGTGCTGGCCCTGGAACCCTGTGCATGGTGATGTACGTCTGTAATCCCAGTCCTGGGGAGGCTGAGACAGTCTAAACTGCATAGCAAGATCCTATATCAAAAAAGAAAAAAAAAAAAGAAAGAAAGAAAGAAAAAAGATGAATCCTGGTTAGATTAATAAAGGGGCACAAACAAACAGTATGAATAGCTGAGCTGTGGCATGTGACTATAATACCAGCTACTCAGGAGGCTGAGGCAGGAAGATCACAGTTCGTAACTTGGGTCTCAAAGTAATTTAAGTGTATGTTGGCAATATATAATAAATACATTCATCACCAAAATACATACTACCTTTTTATCTTTTCTATTTTTCTTCAGGGTGAAATTTTCTTTTTAAATATCTGGGGGGGGGGCCGGGGAGATGGCTCAGTAGGATAAGCGCCCGACTGTCAAACTCAAGGATCTGAGTTCAATTCCCCGGTTCTGCCAAAAAAAAAAAAATATCTGGGGGTGTAGTTCAGTGTTAGGGCATTTGCCTCACATGTGCAAGGCACCAGGTCGATCCCTAGTACCTCCAAAGAAAGAGAAAATATACATACAGGTGGAGTATACCAGAATTTTTAAAAGCTAAGAGAACTCTAATCTTTATACCAATAATTTGAAAATTTGAGCAAACAATACATAAAAAGTATAATTTAATTCCAAAAGCAGTTAAAACCCTGAATAGTCATAAAACTATAGAAGATATTAAAATGGCTTTAAAATTTCCACAAAGAAACAGAGCTGGGCTTGCAACTGTAGCACCTGGAAGACTGAAGCAGGAGTTCAAGGCCAGCCTGGGTTACATAGTGCATGCGAAGTCCACTTGAACTGCAAAGCCAGAGGGTGTCTCCAAACACACCCCGAACCAAGCGCAGGCATAGGTGGGTTTTTCTTGTGTTTTTTGAGATGGCGTCTTGATATGTAGTTTGGGGTAGTCTTAAACTCATGAGGCAGCCTAGGCTGGTCTTGAATAGTGATCCTCCTGTCTCAGCCTCCTGAGTGGCAAGGATTACAGGCCTGTACCACCGAGGGCCCTTCACTGAGCTGCACTGTAACAGCTGGTCCTGAGAACTGAAGCTAGGTCTTTGGGCTGCTGGGTTAGCACTCTACCTCTGGCCTGTGCATTGGCACCAGGTTAGTTTTTAAAATTTATGTATTTGCTTTTTGAGACTTGGTCTTGCTGTGTAACGCATGCTGGCCTTGAGCTTCCTCTTTAGCCCTTGACCTTGAATTCACAGTGATTCTCTTTTGTCAACCTCCTGAGTGCTACGATTGCAGGTGGGCACCAACATGCCCAGCTAGCACCTGCTTAGTTATTTTTTTGTTTGTTTGTTTTGGCGGAGCCAGGGATTGAAATCAGGCCCTTGCGCTTGCCAGGAAAGTGCTTACTCCACTGAGCCGTCTCCGCGGCCCCCCTACTTAGTTTTATAAGTGAGTCTGGAGCTTTCAAGGGACAAATAATCTAATCTTGTATAAAATGTGCAATAGGGAAAAAAATGTTCAAGAGGATAAAAACCATGAAAGTACAGTACAAATTACGAAAAAGTAGTGTGCCTTTATGAAAATGAAGAACTTCCATATAATTTAAAAATTTTTACAGGGGCCGGGGAGATAGCTCAGTGGAGTAAGTGCTTGCCTGGCCAGTGCACGGTGCTGAGTTTGATCCCTGGTACCACTGAAAGAAAAGAAAAAGATGGCTTATTGGAAAAACAAGCAGATTGAATCCAAGTATTTTCCTGAACATGTAAAGCTGCTCAACCTCTACTTACAGGGAAATAATATCAAGACCCAAGTGACTCCCTGAGTTGTAAATCGTCATGATTTCTCGTAATGCGTGTGGAGATACGATGGCGCTATGGGTTTGGGAGACTGCCAGGTGTTATCTCCCAGAGCTCAGTTTTTCTGTGAGTCGGCACTTTGGCTCCTGCATGTGCACAGCCAAAGCCATGATTAGGAGTGTGCAGTAGCCCGTTGGCAGCAGTGAGCCTGGGATGCAGCTGGTGCCCGCCACCAGGAGAGTGGCTGGGTGGTTAGTGTGCTTCCACCTAGCCTGCTGCTCAGCAGCGAACACAGATAGGCGAGCCGGGCGTGGTGGGGCACGCTTGTAATTCCGCACTCAGGCTGAGGCAGGAGGAAGGTTGCTGGGGCAGAGGAGATGGCTCAATGGTATAAGCACTTCCCTGGCAAGCGCAAGGGCCTGAGTTCAATCCCGGGTTCTGCCAAAAAAAAAAAAAAAAAAACACAGGAGGAAGGTTGTTGTGAGTTTGAGGCCAGCCTGAGCTACAGAGTGAGCGCAAAGCCAGCCTGAACTCTGTAACGAGACCCTGTCATAAAAGGGGGGCGGGGAGGAGTAGATGGCGTGTGTTCCAGCAACATGGGAATTTTAGTAATATATAGAGGAAAAAAGGCAAGTCCCAGAAGAATGTGCAGTGCCTTTTATATTGTTGAGGAGCAAGCACAAATACTCCCTAGGTGTTTGAGCTGAACGGGGGAGTAGGTGTAAAGCACATGGCAGCAGGGCATATAACTGAGCGGCACATTGCCTGCCTGCCAAACGTGAGGTCCTGAGTTTGATTCCCATATCAAAGAAAAAATCCTTCTAAAAGCACAGCAGTGGTACTAACTCCAGCCTGACAGTAGGGCTCGGTGGTAGAGCATTTGCCTAGCATGTGTGAGGCAAAAGATTTCAGGACAGCAGTTAGCCGTAGATTGAAGTCACTTAGAGTCTTAGTTCTTAGATTATTCTGGAGGTATTTATTGTTCTGTTGGAAAGGACCAGGTGTGGTGCAAGGGGAGGCTCCCCAAAGGGAGAGAACGAAAGTGCAGTGGAAAGTAAAGGGTCTGTAGGGGTAAGACCCCGGGCGTGCTTAGGCCAGGGGCATGGAGAGAAGCAGCCCCAGTGACCCTCCACCCATCCTGCTGCTTCAACTGCATCTGATCTGCTGTCCCTATCAGCATCCTTGGAAAGGATGGGAATTCTATGGTGTGTCCTGAGCCTCTGCTTTGGCACCCTGCAAAGCGTTGCCTTGGTGTGTCCCTAGGTATCTGCAACTGCACATGCCACTTGCATTATGTTCCTGCTGGACAGTGGAGGGCTCATCCAAAAGGCATGAGAACACGAGAACTAGGAATCCTCTCCCTTACCTAGACAGACAATGCTGTGTTGACTGGGGACTCCACACCACAAGACACATGCAAGTATTTGAAGCTGAGCTAGCCTGGAACAAGTGCCTACTGTGAACACTTCCTGAAGTTTACAGCACAGCCCATTCAACTGGCCTTACTCTGATCTGGTATAGGACGAGGCAGGACCAAGATCTTGAGACGATTAACTCGCACCTCCCTGCAAACGCGTTAGAAGATGTGTTCCAGTTCCGGCCCACTCTCCTCAGTGACGCAGGCAACTAGACCTGCATGTTCAGGGATACTAAGTATTGTAAGGCACTGTTCAGATTCCCTCATAAAACTCAAAAGTGGAGAAATTGTGTGTAGATGACATTCAGATCGCTTGTCCAAATGCACCTGGATATTTTCCTGCCACTGTCAAACCAAATATCACTTGGTGTATGGGTTGTTATTTAATAAAGGATTTTTACAGTGTACTGCTTGACAGCATGCATTCAAGCTTTTCTTCCCTTGACTTCAAATAGTGGAAATTGCACATGTGCTGTGACCTATCCAGAAAACGGACGCATGTTCACTCCACCATGAGTGTGACTATCAGAGTAGTCAGCTCTCTAAAAGATGCGCCGTCCCTTAAGACTTAGTCTTCCAGTGATCATGTGATCTGTGAGAAGGAACCAGGAGAGGAGCTATGTGGCCCTGGTGCAGTCTTTTTTTTTTTTTTTTTTTTTTTTTTCAGAACCAGGGATTGAACTCAGGCCCTTGTGCTTGCCAGGGAAGCGCTTATTCCACTGAGCCATCTCCCACCCGCCCCCCGTGCAGTTTTTTAGCTGTACTGAGCGTTCTCAGGTTTGGTGGACCACTAATGGAAGAAAGCCTGATGGAATCTCTGTTGATGGGACCATTAGTGAACTTGTGAGTTGCTCTGAGGAAGATGAAATCAGAACTTGGGTTTGGAGCATCAAGAAAGTCACTCCTGGGCTGGGGAGAAAGCTCAGCGGCATAAGCGCCTGCCTGGCAAGTGCAAGGTCCTGAGTTCAATCCCCAGTGCTGCAAAAAAAAAAAAAAAAAAAAGTCACTCCTGAGGATCATGCTAGAAATGCCAAAGGAGGGGTTGACAGCACTGGCAAGGGGAAGTAGGAGGGTAATAGATGCTGTCAGCTGGGGAATCTGTGCACGCCTCATGTAACATGCTGGGAGGAGAGGAGAGACTAAGAACTGGAGCGCTCCTGCACCTAGCGCTGTGGTTGACGTGCAGTAATGAAGCAAGGTGGAATGAAAACTCCTGAGGGAAGATTTTGTCTCCTTGAAGATAAATACTACTCAGAATTCTACTCCATTGTTGTGGCTATCATGGGGATTGAACTGAGGGCTTTTTTCATGAGCCCCTCAAGATACTTCTTTAGCCCCAGCCCTCATAATATTTCAAATTATGTTAGTACATTAATGCCCAAATGTTGCTTTAAAAAAATCCATATGATCATAATAATGAAGCACAACTTTATACCTGTACAGTCATAGAAAGTGAAAATAGTGGGGCCGGGGAGATGGCTCAGTAGAATAAGTGCTTGCCTGGCAAGCCTAAGTGTCTGAGTTCAATCCCTGGTTCCACAAAAAAAAAAAAGAAAAGAAAAAAAGAAAGTGAAAATACTCAGCTACCAAGGATGTACTAAAATTGATAGTCACCTGTTGGTGAAGTATGAAAACATTTACAATTTATTAATGCTGGAGCTCTAAAGTCATAAAAACAATCCTATGATCTGACCTAATTCTTGTAAAATTTTCCTGAATAACAATTACTGGGCCGGCCAAATAGCTCAGTGGATTAAAGCGCCTGCAAGCAGGCACAGGCCAGGGGTTCAATTCCCAGGTCTGCCATGCTGGCCCTGCCCCTGGGGCATTCTGGGACAGCAGTTGAGACTGGGTGTGGTGGTATGCGCCTGTAATCCCAGCTTTTGGAAGGCTGTAAACAGGCGATCTAGTAGTGAGACCCTGAACACCCTGCAGACCCTTCCCTAATATCCAAAAAAAACCCCACTGAGATCCTGAAAGAATTATCTGTAATAAACACAAATAGCAGCCATCTGATTGAATAAAATGTATGATTTTAAAAGTATCATTTTAGTGGCTGGGCAGATAGCTCAGCAGTCTAAGTGCCTGCCTGGCAAGTGCAAGGACCTGGGTTCCATCCCCACTGGGCGTGGTGGTACATGCCTATACTCCTAGTTCTGGGGAGGCTAAGACTGGAGGATTACATTGAGTCAGTTGAGTTGCCTAGCAAGACTTTGTACCAACTAATTAAATAAATAAATGATTAAAAGTATCACTTTAGACATCTTGTGTCAATATTTAAGCAATTTTATAATGTACTACAAAGTATAAACACTAAAGTAAAAATTAAACTATAATTTTAGATGTTGTAACAATAATTTCTATGTTACTTATTTTTTTGCAGAACCAGGGATTGAACTCAGGTCCTTGTGTTTGCCAGCAAGCACTTATTCCACTGAGCCATCTCCCTGGCCCCTATCTTTTTTTTTTGGTGGAACTGGGGATTGAACTCAGGCCCTTGCGCTTGCCAGGGAAGCAGTTATTCAGGGAAGCACCTGAGCCATCTCCCCAGCCCAATTTCTATGTTAATGTGACTATATTTTTGTATTATAAATAAATAAAATTTGTGAAGCAAAAAGAAAAAAAATTAAGCCAGGCTTGGTGACACATGCCTGTAAATCCCAGTACTTGGGAAGCTGAGGCAGGAGGATTGTTGTGACAGAGACCAGCTTAGGATGCAAAGTGAGCTCAAGGCCAGCCTGGACTGCATAGCGAGACCCGGTCTCAAGAAGACAAAGAAAAGAAGGACTAGCATGCCATAGCACAAGGGTTCCGACTAACCCACGCAGGGCAGGTGCTGATGCATGCTTAGCGCTGGGCTCTGCGGGTGTGAACGCGCCTTACTCTGTGACTGAGAGCCAAAGTTGGGCGCGGGAGGTCTTTCTGGCTTCTTTGTCTAGGTTCCTCAGCTTCTATCTTTTCCCAGCGTCTCTCTGGTTAAGCTCTTGTTACTTCCCGAGTACTGAGATTCTGCTCTTATGTCCATGTTCTGCCCTTACTGTGCCTACCTCTGCCTGCCCTTCTCCCGCTGGTCGTTTCCTACTTGGTGCCTGAGTACGTGAGTTGCCACAGGAAGGCGGGAATCTCTGTGGACGTCTTGTCTTTCCTCAGGACTCTACTGATGACAGAGAACTTTGGGACAGTGTCCCCCTCCCCTCTCCAAGGCTGATGATTATGTATCCAGGTTGCCGTAGCCTTTCACTATTGGAGCTGTAGCTCCTCTGGACCGATTCCGTATCACTTTGAAGATAAGCAGGCTCATACAGAGAAGTTAAATGGGCTTGGTAATGGCTGTAGGGAGGACAGCAGGGCTAGAAGCCACATGTGCTAACTTCTGGGCCAGTGCCCTTAGCACTCTGTGGACCAACAGGGGAGCCTTTGCTTGAATGAATGGATGTGAGCCCTTGTAGATACCGGTACGTGAGAATCTATAGAATGGATAGAAAGTGTGAAGCGCCCCCATGCCGTAGTTCCGGAGGCTCTTGACCAGCTGCCGTGTGCATTCAGCTCCAGCCTATGCTGTACTGATGGCTGTTTCTTCCTGAGGGCACCTCAACCTGGAAACACCGGGTGACGTCAGGGTGAGGGTTGGTATACACGGGGAGCATCGAATGACGATGGAGGCAGCAGTGGCCTGCCCAGCGTGCAGGGTGGGTGGCAGGACAGTGCGAAAGCAGTTCATACACGCAGTCTGCTTAATTCTGTCAGGAATGTCCTGTGCCCTGGGCAGCATTTTCAGAGATGATTCCAGCCAGCAAGTCCTCAGGGTCTGAGTCAGGATGAGGAAGGAAAGATCACTGGGTCAGCAGATAGGCTCCTGTTATAGGCCTAGGGCGGGACCGGGTGTGGGGTATATCAGAATGGCTCTCTCTAGCCTGCTGTAGAAACCAGGCTAATCGTCGGGGTGTGCTGTGACATATTCGTAATCCCAGCACTCTGGGAGGCTGAGGCAAGAGGATCACAAACTCAACCCCAGCCTGAGCAATCTAAGGAGAACTTGTCTCAGAATTAAAAATCGGGCTGGCAATAGCTCAGCAGACTAAGCGCCTGCTTTAGGGAGAGCACAGCAGCCAGGGTTTGATCCCCTGCATGCTGTGCAGGTCATGTTGTCATGAGGCTTTGGTTGAGTCACAGTGTGTGACAGCCTGACCAGGAAGACCATCAGTGTGGCAGTCATCTCAGCCTCTATTCTTTGACTTCCCAGAACCAGAACCAAAGCAGCATGGAGCTGGCAGTATGCAGAGTTTAGGGTAGGATGAGCTAGGGGCCCTGCTTAGGCCTGGAGTGATGGTGTCCTCTTCCTCGTCGTCCATCTCCCACTCGGTAACACACACAGTCCCAACTCTGGTAAGACTGGGCCTGTCATAAAGTTGAGTTCAGGGACTGAAGTTCTGTCCTCAGGTCATAGGGACATACAGGCTGTGCTTCATATCTAGTAGGATAAGTTCCACGTCGCATCTGTAAATGGTATAGACGAGGACTTGCCCTTGTCAGATAGGGCTGTGGTGGCTTTGTGACTTGAGATAATGTGGGAGCACAGGGAACCGGCCCTGTGCTGTCCGCTGAGGGCAGCCTTCTGAGGAGGTGGGATTCTGCCAGGGGAGGGAGGGCATGGAGAGGTACATGTCACCTTGGTGCTCTGCTTCCTCCTTTGCTCCTCATCACTTTTAAGGTAACTTCAACATCAGAGCATATGTGAAGGTAACTTCAACATCACAGCTCTGCTTGGATCCTGTTCACTGCCGTGTGACACAAGGGTTTCACGAGCCGTTCTTCTCAGAGCCCTTCAGTTGCTCCAGCCTGCTTCTTCCGTCTGTCCTCCAGACAAGTTCTGCTTGCCTTAGCATGGCCTGCGAGGCCTCTTGATCTGATCCGACCTTGCCCTTCCACATCATTTGTGGCCACTTTGCTGCTATTCACTGTACTATGTGCAGAATATGCCACGTGACTATCCTGCCTTCAGGTGTCCCCTCCTGTCTTCCAGCTCTGTGGTTCTCAGCCTCTTCCAAGCCCTTGGCTGGGCTGGTGGCCCTTCCTGCCCGCACTGCGCTGTGTAGTCTCCCCATCACAGCCCCTCATGGCGTGCTGCAGTTTCTTGTTCATTGCCTGTAATTTCTACCAGGTAAAATTTAGTGAGAGCAGCTAGCTTGTTCTTGGAATTCACCATGGTACTGCCAAGTGTGTGGCTCAGTGTGTGGCACATAGGAGGCACTTTGATAAATATGTGACCAAAGAATGGTTCAATGACCCAAGTTTGTTTTTCTGTGACAGGAATGGGAAAAGGACAGCACAGGATGCCCTCCAAGGATGAGCTGGTCCAGAGATACAACAGGATGAACACCATCCCCCAGGTACTAGGAACTGGCCCTGCTCTGAGGAGCCTTCTTCCTGGGCTGCCCCAGGGGCTGGGCTGATAGAAAAGGAATTGGGAGTGTGCCCTCAACAGAACACACTTCAGAGTGGCACCGTCTTTGTCACAAGTAGAGTGGAGATAAAGATGAAAAGCCCATCTGGATTGACCAGGGAATAAACTTGTGGCGGGAGGCCTGCAGCCTGGACACAGAGGACCCCTGCCCTGTGGCCAGCCCACAAGCTACTGCATGCTGTGTCTGCTCTGCCCCTTCTCTTTCAGACCCGATCCATTCAGTCCAGATTCCTGCAGAGTCGGAATCTCAACTGTATAGCACTCTGCGAAGGTAGGTAGCACAGCCAGTCCCTGCTGGTTTGGGTCCTGGCCTCTAGGTGTGATCCAGCTGGGACTGCCTGTGGGAGTACTGTGTCTTCCCCTCTTGCCTGGAATCTTGTGTCTCAGGCTTTTATCTGTGACTTCTGCCCCTTTTGTTCCAGTGATCACATCCAAGGACCTCCAGAAGCATGGGAACATCTGGGTGTGCCCTGTGTCCGACCACGTCTGCACACGGTTCTTCTTTGTGTAAGTCAGGATGGGGCCCTGGGTTCACTTGAGAGAGGGTGCTTGGGTGCTGTGACTACTGGGAAGTCCTGTGCATGTTCTGAGCCTTGTCCCTTGCTACTTGAGTGGAGCCGACCCTGGAACTTTTCCCCTGGGAGGATGGAGATGGGCTGTGCAGAGGAGACCAGAGAAATTGAATCCTTTCTATTCTAAATAGAGAGCAAGAGCTTTGACTGTCAGGTGGGGTGGCCATGCCTCTCGACAGTGCCGTTGGTTGACGTTTTTCTGTTCTCGTTTTCACGCTCACATTTGCTTGGTCTCTGGCAGATATGAGGATGGTCAGGTGGGCGATGCCAACATTAATACTCAGGACCCCAAGATACAGAAGGAAATCATGCGTGTGATCGGAACTCAGGTTTACACAAACTGAGGGGGCCCCAGCCCTCGAACCAAGCTGTTCCCCCAGATCCATCTGCCCTCGTCAAAGGGCTCAGGAGCAACAGGTGAGACTGCCCTGGAGGAATCAGGCCGTTTACCAAGAAGCCGGACAAAGCTTAAACAGGTGGCCTTCATGGTAGAGACTGACCCAGGAACCTCTCCACGTGGACGGCCTAGACTGACTCCAACCCTGATCTGCCCAGTTGACTTCACCCTGTTTGTAAATAAAACAATAAACTGGAAGGTGCTGTGGACTGGATATGATCACTGTGGTCTGACTGGCCTTGGCCCAGCACCTCGTCCAGCCCCGAGGCATGAGTGGGGAGAGTCGGGGCTGCACAGGCTGCTGGCGTGCTCCGCAGAGCTGCCTGTGCAGCACGTTAGGTGCAGAAGGGAATCTTACAGTTATGCAGAAGACACACAGGATAACTAGAGATTTAAGAGGGCTTAAGGCCAGGGCAGCGCCAGCTTCTTACCCTCTGAGCTGATGGCCTTCTGCACAAAGCCTCCACGAACACTGGCTCTATAGCTCAGGGGCTACATCCCACTGTCCTCCTCAGGCTGTTTGTTTGGGACACATGAGGTGAGGAGCTGGCAGGTACAGGAAGCTGGGTTGATGTCTCATTCTTTAAGGAAAAGCCCAAAGAGCGTTTGCAATCAGAATTTTTTTTTTTTTTTTCTTGCATTTGGTTGTTGCAGGGTCTCACTATGCAGCTCAGGGGGCTTACAGTTAACTCAGTTGTTTAAAGTGCCTGCTTGGGCAAACTGAGGCATAGGGAACTGCAGTGCAATCCCCAGCTCCACAAGCCACACCAGACCTGCCCTTAAGGCAGCCTGAGCCAGCCAAAAAAAAAAGAAGCCTTCACTACGCCACTCTGACTCTTGGTGATCCTCCTGCTTTCAGCCTCCCCAGTGCTGGGATTATAGGCATGTGCCACTGTACACCTGGACTCCGGCCAGCTCAGCCTGCCCTGGGGGGCGGGGCTGGCACAGAGTGTGGTCCCTGTGCTTTCCCAAACACTTGCTCTAGTCTGCTGAGCTATCCTGCCAGCCCTGCAAACAGAATCTTTTTTCTTAGTCTTTTGAGACAGCCTCCCTATGTACTCCAGGCTGACCTTTAACTCCCACTAATGCTACTTCAGCCTCAGGAGTGCTGAGTTTCCAGGCATGTACCACTATACCTGACTCAACCAAACCATTTTATTTTTATTTTTTGAAGCAGGGTGTCTTACTGCAGTTCATCCTGGCTTTGAACTCACTTTGTACCCAGGGCTGGCCTTGCAGTGATCCTCCAGTCTTATCCTCCCAAGTGCTAGGGATTATAAACGTGTGCCACCACACCCAACTACAGGCTGACTTTTTATCACACATAATGGCACACACTTGTAATCTCAGCACTCTAGGAGGCTGAGGCAAGAAGATCACTGACCTTGAGGCCAGCGTGGGCCATTCAGCAACTTAGTGAAAACTTGTCTTAAAAAATAATGTGCCAGGGGGCCGGGGAGATGGCTCAGTAGAATAAGTGCTTGCCTGGCAAGCTTAAGGGCCTGAGTTCAATCCCCAGTTCTGCAAAAAAAAAAAAAAAAAAAAAAAAAAAAAAAAAAAAAAAAAAAATGTGAAAAAAAAAAAAAAAAAAGTGTCAAGGGCTGGGGAGATAGCTCCGTAGAATAAGCAAAGGACCTGAGTTCAATCCCTGGTTCTGCAAAAAAATAAAAACATGTCAGCTCTGCCCCTGGAGTGTGCTGAGACAGTAATTGAGACTGGGTGTGGTGTCACCTGCCTGTAATCCCAGCGCCTGGGAGGCTGAGAACAGGAGGATCACTGTGAGTCAGAACTGAGTAGTGAGACCCGGTAGACACTGTACTAAATACATCTAAAATAATAATTATTTTAAAAGGGGCCACGAGGGCCTAAGTTCAATTCCTGGTTCTGCAAAAAAAAAAAAAAGAAAAAAATCTCTGGGGATGTAGCTCAGCAGCATAAGCACTTGCCTGGCAAGTACAAGGATCTGAGTTCAATCCCTGGTTCCGAAATAAATAAATAAATAAATAAATAAATAGAGTCCGGTGTGGTGGCACATGATGGTGATCTTGGCACTCAGGCAGGTGAGGCAGGAGGATCATCTTAGGTTTGAGTCCAACCTGGGCTACATAGTCCAAGGCCAACCTGAGCTACATAGATTCTTTTTTTTTTTTTTTTTTTTTTGTGGTACTGGGGATTGAACTCAGGACCCTGCACTTGCCAGGCAAGTGCTTATTCTACTGAGCTGTCTCCCCAGACCCCACTACATAGATTCTCTGTCTCCAAAAAAGGGTGGGGGGAGATAGCTCAGTAGAATAAGTGCTTGCCTGGCAAGCACAAGGGACTGAGTTCAATCCCTAGTTCCGCAAAACCAAAAACAGGCTATTAATGTGGAATACTAGGGTTCAGTTCCCCAGTGCTAGGTGCAAATGTCAACACACACACAGATTTTACAGGTTTTTAATTCTTTCACCAGCCCTGACTTACAAAGTCTGCCCTTGACTATCAGGTCTTTCATTTCCTTTGTTACACATTGCGTTCCCTAGACAGCTTATTCTATGCTAGTTCCTGACTCTGCTGTAACACAGAACAGATATTGTGTGTGTGTGTGTGTGATGCTGGGGATCGAACTCAGGGTCTTGTGCGTGCAAGGCAAGAGCTCCCCAGCCCAGAAGTGCTATTCTGTTTTTGCATTTATCTCTTTTTTTTTCTTTTAATTTAATAGATTGCAAATTGAAAATAATTTACAAACATAAGTGAATATAACAAGAATTGTCCAAAATAAAAAATGAAAGAATTTACAGATCAGTCATAATAGTTCACTGTGTCAAAACCAAGAAACTTATATTCATATAATTAGAATTCTCAAAGTAGAAAGGAGGGCTGGGGAGATGGCTCAGTGGAATAAGCGCTTCCCTTGCAAGCGCAAGGACCTGAGTTCAATCCCCGGTTCCACAAAAAAGAAAAAAGAAAAAAAGTAGAAAGGAGTAGGCAATAAATATTTAAAGATATAAAATTTCTGAATTCAGTTCAACTTATACCGCATTTCCAAGAGAAATGAACCTTTTTGCACAAGAAATTTAAATAAAATCATACCAAGATACACAAAAATGAAATTGTCCAAAACTTATTATAAAGAAAAAAATCATTAAAGCATATACATAAAAATATTAGCAGGGGCCAGGCAGATGGCTTAGTGGAATAAGTGCTTCCCTGGCAAGCACAAGGGCCTGAGTTCAATCCCCGGTTGTGCAAAAAAAAAAATTAGCTATGGAAGAACAAAATTAAATAGCATCTTATTCCACATTAGAAAAAAAAAAAGGACCAAGAGTGTGTAGGAAACTAGACTAATTGAAGGACTGAAAGAAAAAGATCTGTCCTCTTTGAATTTTATACTTAGCAAACATACCTTTGAAAACTAAAAGTAAGATTTTCTAGTTATACAAACTTGAGATATTTTAATACCTCCAGACATAGCATATAGGAAATAACAAAGAGCATAATTCAAAAGGCAAGAGAAGTTGCAGTATGCTCCTGGGTGAACAATAAAGAGCTCTGAAAGTGATAGTTATGCAGGATTATATAAAATATATTAGATGAACACTCATTTAAAAGGTCATTGAAGATTTCTATGAGACAGTACCAATCTTTTTTTTTGCGGAACCAGGCATTGAACTCGGGCCCTTACACTTGCCAGGCAAGCGCTTATTCCACTGAGCCATCTCCCTGGCCCCAGTACCAATCTTACGTTGGATTATATACTTTTTTTTTCATATATATGTTTGTGTATGTGTGTATAAAAGACAGGGAAGAAGTAATATAAAGTCAACAAAAAATGGAAATATACTTTTTAAAGTTTCCAATACTAGAAGATACACGATATCTTTTAAATAAATTATAAGTCAAAGATACAGTATAAATCTTAGAACAAAAGATTAAGCAATATTCAGAAAATTAAATATTAATTAATTAAAATTAAATGTTTCAAAACAATTGAACTAAGAAAAAGTTTTCGTGATAGTGAAGTACTAAGAGTAAAACATAAATACTGAAATGGCTCAGAAGTGCAATTATTATTATTATTTTTTTTTTGGCAGAACCAGGGATTGAACTCAGACCCTTGCGCTTGCCAGGGAAGCGCTTTTTCCACTGAGCCATCTCCCTGGCTCCAGAAGTGCTATTCTTGTTGTTGTTTTGTTTTTTGGTGGAACCAGGGATTGAACTCAGGCCCATTAAGCTTGCCAGGCAAGCTCTTCTTCTACCGAGCCATCTCCCCAGCCCTAGAAGTGCTGTTCTTAAAGTCCATATCCTCAGAAATTGTTTCTTCAAGATCAGTATCTTCTGCTGGACATTCTGGTCCACGCTTGTCCCAGTGTTTGAGAGGCAGAGGTAGAATCTCTTTGAGTTCAAGGCCAGCCTGGGACACATGGAAAAGCCCTGTCTCAAAAATAAAAACAATAGGGGCCGGGGAGATGGCTCAGTAGGATAAGTGCTTGACTGGCAAACACAAGGATCTGAGTTCAATCCCTGGTTCCCCCAAAAAAATAAATGAAAACAATAATTAGGCTCTTATACCCCAGCATGGTGGCACATAGTATTCCCAGCTAGTGGGGAGGCTGAGGCAGGAAGAATGCTTTCAGCTCAGGAATTCAAGACTAGCCTGGGTAACAGTGAGAACCATTTAAACCGGTTTTCTTTTTCTGTGTGTGTGTGTGTGTGTGTGTGTGTGTGTGTGTGTGTGTGTGTGTGTTTGGTACAGGGTCTGTAGGATCTACAGGATCTCACTATGTAGATCTGACTCATAGTGCTCCTCCTGTTTTCAGCCTCCCAAGTGCTGGGATTACAGGCGGGTACCACCATGCCCAGTCTCAATCTGTCTCTGTCTCAGCATGCTTTAGTCTGCTGAGCTATCTGGCTACCCTTAAGAACCATTTTATTTATATATTTATTTTTAATACAACCTTCAACCCTCAAGGCAGTTTGTTTATTTTATTTTATTTTTGTTTTATTTTGAGGAGCCGGGGATTGAACTCAGTCCCTTGCACTTGCCAAGGAAGCGCTTATTCCACTGAGCCATCTCCCCAGCCCCTATTGTTTATTTTTATTTATTTTTTGGCTGGCTCAGCTCACCCTGAGGGCGGGGCTGGCCTGGCATGTGGTGCCAGGGATTGAACCATGGTCCCTTCACCTGCCTCAGCTTGCCAAGCAGGCACTTTAAACCTCTGAG